TGACCGAGAAACACACAGTTTCCACACCGTTTGGGGCCGAACACAGCACTGTTTCCACGTGCTTTCTGGCCGAGAAACACGCAGTTTCCACACCGTTTGGGGCCGAACACAGCAGTGTTTCCACATGCTTTCTGGCCGAGAAACACACAGTTTCCACACCTTTTGGGGCCGAACACAGCAGTCTTTCCACATGCTTTTGGGCCGAGAAGCACACAGTTTCCACACCTTTTGGGGCCGAACACAGCAGTCTTTCCACATGCTTTTGGGCCGAGAAGCACACAGTTTCCACACCGCTTGGGGGCCAAGCACAGCAGTCTTTCCACATGCTTTTGGGCCGAACACAGCAGTGTTACCATATATAAGCTATGTAGAAACAGTGGCGTGCTCTTTGGTTTTGATTGATCCTTCAATGTCGGAGCCTCAGAGTGTCGGATTGCATCCCAACTGCTGGAAGAGCAGTGTTGGCCAGAGCTCTCATTGCAACATGCCACTGCCAAGCATGTGCGATCAGATAACAAGCTCGTGTTGAGGCGACAGTTATCCTTTGGAGCGGCTCAAGTCTTCAGGATTCAATTTTGGAATTTTGGGCTCACAAAGACGCAGGGTACGTCTGTATGTAGGTCAGCTGGGTTGGTGATCCAGCAACAACATTTGCTGTCCTGTCATGATGCACCTCCATGGCGACGACAAGCAAACTGAAGAGGCACATTGAGGGCTAGTTTCACCAGTCTACGCTGGGTTTTCGCTGCCCCATCTGTTTCTGTAGCTCTGTATATACTACCTTGCGAAGCCCCTCGCAGGCTTAAGACTACTTTTGGGGCCGTTTTGGAGTTTGGGGTTTAGGGCTTAGGGCGTAGGGCCTAGGGCCTAGGGTTTTAAAGTTTGGCGTTTCGGGGGTTTAGGGCTTCGGGTTTTTTGAGATTCTTTTATTGCTTCCGGTTTGTGGGTTTAGCTTTGGTGTGCGTGTAGGTTTGGGGTTTCGCCCTTTGTGGCATTAGGTTTCGGTTGCCTTTAGGTTTAAGCCTAAGCCTAAACCCTAACTAAACCCGAAGCCTTGAACCCAGGATTTCTGACCCAGGCCCTAAGCTCTAGAACCGACCCCTATTATATACATATTGTATATATATATATACACATACTGTTTATATATATA